ATCCCGCGCACCTAGGCCCCGCTGACCCCGTGAACCTAGGAGCGCGCGGAAACGTCCACCCAACGCCTGGTCCTGACTGCCGCCCACGTGTGTCTGCAAAATCCAGGCCGAGCCCGGCACCCGCGCCAAGGCCAGGGCAATGAGCGCCGCGCCCACGCCCTTGCTGACGAGAAACTTGCGCTCCAAGTGCCCAACCCGCGGGGGACAGCGGATGCGACCCGGAATTCTCTCGACCCTCCCTGGAAAACCCAGCGCTCTCCAAGCTGGGCGGAAAACGCCGGGGCGCACCTCGGTTCCTGCTGCGTGCGAAATTAGAAAGGAAACAGTTAATTACTGTCTCCTTGTCCTGACTTTTCTCTGGTTCCTTCGGTCACTTTGGCTGACCCCACCATTCTGAATCTGCCCTGGGGGCTCTTCAGCCACAGCGAGAATCCCAAATCAAACACTCGCATTCTGCGAGCTGGGTTTCTTCCAACGCACCTTGCAATCTTAAAGGTTGCCTTTCCGCAAAAAGCTTGGGCGGAGCACCTGAGCTGGGAAAGACAGCTGGTGCGTGGCGGGGTCCCTCGGACCCGAAAAGGCGCAGCGATTTAACGAGCTGGAGTTTCCGGAGCTGCGTTCAGCGGCGCCCTAAGGCAGTCGGGCAGGATGCGCGGGAGCCAGCGCCCAGGACATGGATTCCGCGCCCACCCGCCCCCGCCAGTTTACAAAGCAAACTTTCCCCTGAGTAGTTTCTAGATCCAACGGCGCACAGAGTGCGCCAATCAACACCTACACAGACCCAAACTGTAGAAACACGGATCGATCAGATAATTTCAAATATTATAATTGGCTTTAATTAAACACACTGCGTTCTAATTAACTCTGAAATTTTAGCATGCTTTGGGACACTGGTGTCTGATTTGATATTGTCAGTCCAGATGTCCTAATAAAATTCAATCTTCCACTCAAGACTTCAATATTCACTAAGAACAAAATGCAAATTAAATGTAAAACCTAAAGTATCGCCAAAGGTATAATCAAGAAAGGTGTCTCAAAACTTCTCACTTTTTATTACGCAGTAGTTAAAAAATGCAGATGACATCCTAACAAGACCTCTCCAGCACACCATAAATCTTAACTCTTTCCTGGGAGGGGGTGGGGTGCCCTGCCACTGGCTTAAATGTAAAGGAGGGGGATAACCAGACCCCATAAAAGAATTGAATACCCTCATCTGAAAGCTAACGGGGCGCAAAAGTTCGCCAATGAAATTCTGGCTTGAAATGGGTTTGCCAAAACCGGCAAAGGAGTTGGGGTGGTAGAGAGCCAAGGGCTGGGGGTGGACGGATTGGCATGGGATTGACGTCCTCCTCAGCAGCGACACTCGCCCACTCCTCGGCCGCACCTTAGCGGGGTGTGTATACATCCGTTCCTGTGCGCAAAAATGGGTTGGTGGGTGACAGCTGCCTGGCCTGGTCAGTCCGCCCGGGTAATTATCTCAGCTGTAGGGACCGCGACGACGAGGCTGGGAGGGATGGGAGCGCACACTACCCTTGGACAGAAATGTGTCAACCCCTCCTCCCTTCCCGCCTGCACAAACCCTTTCACCCACGTTCACGCCATTTCTAAGGGATCCAAGCTGGCGGACGGTATTGGGCAGCGCGCGGCAGCGGGACGGCCCCTCCGGGTAAACCGGGCGCAGGCCATGCGGGGGATGCGCCTTTGGTGACACATTTGGCCGCGACGTGATTCTTTACCAATCCGAGGGTCTGCTAAATTTACAGCCCAGAATGAGCCCTTTTAAAAGGAAGCTATTCTCACATTAAACATGTGTATGTTTTCCATACTAATGGAGTCACTTAAAGCTGTTGCTAATTTAACTTTTTAAAAAGGCCACACTGTGGAAATTTGCATTTTCTTTAGGATATTGAAATGAAGAGAAAACTGCTGGGCGGCGAGGCTGCCCAGGGCATAGCTAGGGGCCATGCAGAAATAAAAACAGATAAAGAAAAGAAGAAAGAAAGAAACCCGCTTCTCTTCTAGACTATTAATAAGCAATTTGTCCCGCTGAAATTTACATTGCAAAGCGGAGCGCGCCGGCAGCCGAGGCGGCTGGGCTGGCGCGGGCTCGGGCGGTGCACCCAAGGCGGGGCAGGGCAGCCTCTGGGCCGTCCTGGCCGCCCCCGGGGGTGATCTATGGGCAGCTTTGAACTTGGTGTCCTTGCCGCCGCACCACCGACCTTCGCCCGCATCCACGCGTGTCTGCATGCCGGTGCCCCGCCTGGGCCGCGCGCCCGGAGAGCGAGGACTAGGGCTGCGCGGTCGCCACCAGGCCCGCCGCAGCCAGACTGGGGTCTCTCGAAGAGAACCCCTCCGCTCGCAGGAACGTCCTGGGCTCACTGACCCCCATCCGCCCCCAAAACGCTGACCAGGCCTTAAATTTAAAATGCCAACAATAAGCTTCATTTTTTTCCTGCAGAGCCATGCTGCCCTGGCCCAAGTCAACTGCAAGTGCGGAGCCCCGCGCTCCGCGCCCACCCCGCGCCCCCGCCTGCTCCC